AAGGGACACGAACAGCGACGGCTTGGCTCAGTCCTGCCGAACCCCGGGCTTTTTACAGCGCATCCAGAGGGAGAAACTACGGCACGGGGACAGGGGCAGCTCGGGGACAGGGGCAGCTCGGGGACAGGGTCAGCTCGGGGACAGGGGCAAGCGGGGCTTGACCTGAACCGGGGTGTCTGGTCTCGCATGCCTTGGGCAGCCGGCAGAGCCCAAGAGGTGTCGTGCCCGCTCCAGCCCCTCTGCCGAGCAGAGGGCCCCAGCTTCCCCTTTCGCGACCCGCTGTGGGGAACCCCAGTGCCGCTCCGGCCCCGAACGCCCGCTCGCCGTGACCTCCCTCCCGCTTGCTGCCTTGCCCACGGTGGCCGGGGCCGTGGCCGGGGCAGGGACACGGAACCGGGCATAGGGGCAGTGGTGGAACCGGTGCCAAGCAAGGCTCGCAATCGGCTCCGGGTTACCTCCAGCTCGCGGTTAGCTCCGGCAGGATTCCGAGCTCACGGAGCAGAGCCCCGGGGCCGCTCACCCGCCTCCTTCCATGCCCGTCCCGGCGAGAGGCTCGGCTGCGGAGGCGGCTGCTCTGCAGCAATAACTTCCTGCAACGCCATCCCTGCCCCGGCCCGCCCCACGCCCAGCGCCTGCCAAGCTCCGCGGGCGGGACGGGAGGGCGGCCGGAGGCACAGCGGCGAGGGAAAGCGCCTGCACCCCGAACACGGGGACGCACGGAATGGGGGGGGGGCTTGGGTCTTACCAGATGTGCCGCTGGGCATTTCCTCCGCGCGCATCTGGCGGCTCTGCATCCCCGGCTGCATCCCGGCTGTGCAACTGGAGCCTGCGAGGATGGGTTCTGCTCCTGAGCAAATCAGCTGCTCGGCTGCCAGCCTCTCGCAGGGAGAGGGAGCAGGGAACAAAACAGCAGCCCCACCAGGAAAAGGAGCTGGAGGAAGCTGGACCTCAGCGCAGGTGGTTTTACCCGGCTGTGTAACACACACACACACACACACACAGAGACATCTGTACCTGCCCTCTCGCTGCTTGCAGATCAGCTGTGGTGGTGCTGAGACGAGAGACAGCTGTGTCAGCGCTGCCACATGCACCCTGCTTAATCCCTGGGTGCTGTCTTGGGGTGCTGGGACAGAGTGGTCACACGTGGGTAACAATGCTCACACCCCAAATGCCCAGACACTGCCTCTCCCAGCCCCATACCTGGGCACACACAACTCCCCTCACGTGTGTCCCCCTGAGGCACTCAGGAGCACGAGACACGCAGGCAGTACACTATAAATATAGGTTTTATTGATGTGTGAAATCCAACGAGTACAGCTGGCACCTCAGAAACACCAACATCAACCACAATGTCTCCTCCTGCCCCAACAGCTCCCGGGACCCTCTGTGGGCACTGGTGAGTGCCAGCAGTGAGCTGGGGCCTGGCACCCCGTCCCTGCGGGGCACTTACCTGCGTGTGCAGCCCAGCCTGGAGGGCCCAGGGCCTCACCTCCACCCTGCCTGGTTCCTGCCAGGCTGCAGCTGTGGGCAGCAGTGCCCTGGTCCTGCTTCTCAGCCTCCTGCCAGCAAGGCAGAAGGACCTGGACAAACGCCACCCAGACCAGCTACCACGACAGAGACACCCTCCTCAGCCTTGGAGGGGTTACCTGCAGCTTATTTTGGCAAACTGCCCCACGGGAAGCACAGCTCACACCTGTGGTCGTGTGGAAAGGTGGGGTTCAATGGCTGCACCTCTCTGCATGGTCCCCCCAGCCCTGAACCTCACAGGCACCCCACTGTGCAGCCCCCACTGCACGGGTGGGCACGGTGAGGACTGGAAAACCAGAGGGGGAAGGACACACTCAGAGATCCCAGGGCTGCCCTTGGCAGAGGGACAGGACAAATGGTGTCCACACACAGTGAGAAGGAAACACTGTTTTATTGCCTGATTTGGGAGAGGGGTGAAACCCTGGGAGAAGCCCCATCTCCTCCCTGTTCTAGCCCAGTCTCCCCTCCAGCAAACCCCAGGCGGGTGATGATGCATTTGCTCTTCTTGTGCGTGTGACAAAGGTGGCCTGGCCATGCATGGAGGTGAGTGGCGACCCCCTGCCTGCCCTATCTGCATTCCCAGCAGCTGTGAGAGGCAGAACCTGGTGCAACTGTGCCCGTGAGCTGAAGGGGTTGAAGCAGTTTTTGGTTCCCAGGGAGCTGGAGCCACAGCCTGAACCCCCATCCTCGTCCACTCAAAGTGCATCACAAGGGAAGGCAGGGGCAGGAGAGGAGAGGAGAGGAGGTGTGGGGGGAGAAGCCTGCTCTCCTCCCTCACACTCCTCATGATTATCCAGACGCGTTCTCCCGTGGGGTTCCTGCATCCTGGAGCACCCACGGCACCGCTTCCCTGCTCTGATAAAGTGCATCCTTGCTGCTCCACCGAGGGCCCCCCTGAGCAGGATGGCTGCACCCCGTCCCCCTGCCATGCCAGGGCAGAGACAACCCCCCTTGCCCAGCTCCTGCAGGGAGGGGACCACCCAGGCAGCAGAGGGGCAATAAAACCAAGGTGCTCAGCCCAGCCACAACAACCTGGGGGGCTCAGTGCAAACGTGCTTCTTCCCTTTGCATTTTCCTGTGCCTTCTGCCATCTCTGGGATTGCCCTGGCAGGGAGGGAGGGAAGGGGCCATGGCTCAGTTCACTCCTCAGGCAGCACTGAGGGTGCCCAGATCCCTCACTCATCGCAGCCCCTTCGTATCAACATCTCCCCGTGCCTCCTGCTGCCCTGGGGATGAGGGGTGCCTGCCCCATCACCCCCACTCCCCAGTGCCCTTGCCCAGCCCGGGGACACAGCCATCCTCCAGCTCCAGGGCTTGTCCTGGCCCTCTGCCCCGCAGTGGCCATGGACCTGCTCAGCTGGGACACCGTGACTCACCAGTGCAGGAGGCCCAGGCTGTGCTGAGCTCTCCTGGGCATCCTGGGGGAGCTCCAGCTGCCCCATCCCGGACAGGCTGGTCCCAGCAGCCACCTGAGGAGCTACCTGCCCCCAAGTCATTCTTCTGAGCTCAGCCAGCCCGTCCCAAAGCCTCGTGTTGAGCATCCCTGTGCCTGAGGGACACGGGCAGTGGCAGTCACAGGTGCCTGCTGGCAGCCCCTTTGCTCCACTCCATCACTAGCCCATCTTGTCCTGGTCCTCCTGGGAGCAGCAGTGATGGCACAGGGGTGTCCAGGTGGTACCTTCTGGAAGGTGCAGGAAGCAGCAGGACACAGCGCTGGGGATGGCAGTGCCTCTGGTGTGCAGGAAGCAGGGCCCAAATGCCAGGAGCAGGCAGGAGCTGTGCAGGGCTGCCCCACTGACACCTCCTGCCAGCTCGGGATCCATCCTGGGAAAACCCTCAGCCCAGCCAGGCTTAACTAGTCCCATCTCAAGAGCAGGACAGAAGCAGGGCATCAGTCCCATCAGCTCCACGGACAAGGAGGTGGAAGAAGGGTGACAGCCCACAGCCCCACCATCCCCCTGGCTCCCTACCCATCCATCCACCTCGTGACAGAGCAGGCACAGGGACCATTCCCCACTCCACTGTGCCCCTGCCCGGGAGACTGCAGCCCCCCAGCTGGCACAGCTCCCTGCATGGGCCAGCAGTGAAGGAAGATCCAGGAGGAATTCCCAGAGGGGAATTTTGTGAGGGATAGTGATAAGTCAGAAAACAGCCCCTGTGGAAGACCCTGACACCCAGCATGGAAAGGGCACCAGGGTATGTCCTGCTTCCAGACCCTCTGTGCAGGAGAGCCCTGTGGCCAAACCTCCCTGGCAGCCACCTCTCCAGGCAGGGGAAGCTCGGCTTTGCTGAGTGCCCAGCATCAGTGCCAGGCCAGCCAGACCTTGCTGTGCAGTCCCAGCACGAGCCAGTGAAATCAAAGATCAGCCTCCAGGACTTTGCTGAAGTCTGGCATTTGCCCTGCAATCCCTGGCTGCTCAGAGTGCCAGCAGCAGCACCTCCCAGGCTGCACTTGACCCGGGGCCAGCACACCAGGGTAGGGCAGAGCTGCCTTCCCCATCTAAAAACCAAGGGGATCCCGTGTGTGTGGGTGACCAGTGCAGCCCAGTGACACCAGTGCCAGCACACACAGAGCCTGTGCTGTGCAGCTAAGCAGCATGTTGTGTTCCCAGCACAGCAGCACGTGCAGATGCCCCACCAGCTCCAGGCTCAGCTCAGTTCCTTTGGAGAGCCAGCAGGGTGCCCTGACCTGCCTTCCCTCTGCAAGGTGTGTGGAGAGGGAGGTGACCTCGGAGGAGACACTTGCCAAGAGGGACGTTTTCCTGATACCAGTCACAAGGTTCAGAGCCCTTCCCAGTGTCCGGGTCACACCCGCTGCAAACAAACTGCTCTGAGAGCTCACCTGGTTTCCAGGCCCTGCTGGGACTCCCTTCTGCACAGTGTCACCCTGGGAGGGAGGCTGGCACTGGGACAAGGCTGGGTGTCCCTGCCATCCCCTCCTTGCACAGCCAGTGCTGAGCGAGGCTCTTCTGCTCTGTCCTGCTGAGACAGCCACAGTTGTGCTGGGAGGAGAGAGGTTGCAAGGGAAGGGCTCAGGGCCAGCTCTTCTCCAGTGATGGCATAGCTGAGCCCAGCCCTGCTTTCCAGCCTCCTGGCACTGGCAGGGTGTGGCAACTTAAATCCTCCTTGCTCCATGCAAGCGCTCGAAGAGACCAGTCACTTCTCTCCACGTTGGTTGATTTGGGTCAGACCCTCTTGTCTGAGACCCCAAAGACAACAGGGACTGAACATGAGACTCCCTAAGGTCTGAGATTAGTGTCCTACTCCTGCAGACCCTGCCATATCCCCGGGTTGGAAGATCCCATCTCTGAGGATGGCACCAAGAGCAGAAGTCTGAGACAGAGCCCCAGGTCCTCCTCTGCCTGCTGGCTGCTGGCTCCCTTTCCCCTCTGGGGTGCAGTGGGGTTTGTGGGAAAAAAAAAAAAAAAAAGAGGGAAAAATTAAAAAAAAAAAAAGAAAAAAAAAGAGGAAAGATTTGTGCTGAAAGAAGAAGGAGATGCAGCAACAGGAAACACTAAAGCCTTGTGCAACTTGGCCTATTGCATCTTTGGGCTCTTCTCAGCACTGACTCACGTGGTGCCAGCCAGGACGAGGAACGGGGCCATGTGCTGCACTCCCAGCCTGGGCTGTGCTGCTCTCTCCTCCCAGCTCCAGCCCCTGGGTGCTGCTCCCCCCTGCCTGGAGCAGTGGGCTCCCCTCAGCCTTGCTGGGCACACAGCCACCTCCTCGGGAGCGTCCCTGCTGTCCCAGGGGTGACAAGAGGGCACCCAACCTCCTCCGTGGGGTCCAGCGGTTCCCGGGAGAGAGAGGGTGGCACATGCCAGGGCTGTACAAAACGTTTTGCAATGAAGAGTGTGTGTGGAAAGGTTAAAACAGTTCCGAGATGTCTCAAAACCCTTCTCGACTGAGCCAGGCCTGGCTGGCACCCAGCGGTGCCTCTGCCACGGTCTGTGGCCTGCCAGGAGCACCGTGTCCATCCACAGAGGGTCCCTCACAGCAGGCCAGGCCCGGGAGTGGCCGTGGGGGCCCTTTATCTCTCTGACTTGACCTTGTACCTGAGGACCAGGTAAGCCAGGAGCCGCAGGATGACGAAGAAGATGCCCAGGATGAGGAAGTCCAGGTAGAGCTTGGCCTCCTCCACGTCCAGCTCCTGCAGGATCTTGATGGGCTTTTGGAAAGGGCAGAAGTCCTCGAGGCACTCCAGGTCCTCGCGCTCCATGGCGTAGATGGTGAGGATGACGCCCTCGAAGCCGTACCTAGGGCAGAGCACACCCGAGAGAGTCACCCAGGGCCCCACAGGAGCCCCCTGGGAGCCCAGGACAGGAGTTCTGGCCAGAGCATGGGGTCCCACCTGACGTAGGAGACATAGGAGCTCCACTGCAGGTAGGTGGGGATGGTCTTGAAGCTGACAAAGAAGCCCGAGAAGAGCAGGACGGGGATGGCAGTGACGGGTCCCACAAAGGTGGCCACCTGGGGAGCACAAGCGGGGTGTCACATCCTTGTCCAGGGGTGAACCACTCCCCCTGCACCCCTAAATTGCCATGGGACACCTTGCAAGCCTCCACGAGACAGGCAAAGCCCCATCTGACCTGCAGGGAGGTGGAAGCAGCTCCGATGAGAAGCCCGAGGGACTGGGCCACCAGGGCCGTGGCGGTGGCCAGGGCGGAGAAGAGCAGGAAGCGTGTGGCCTCGGGGGGCTGGCCCGTCATCCAATACACGATGCTGCAGTAGGCAATGGGGCAGATCACCTGCACAGGGGCACAGAGACCACCCTGCTGGACCCACGGGCACGCTCACCCCACACACCCTTCCTGGGGGGTGCAGGCACCCCACAAAGCCCAGCCTGGGCACGGGACAAGTGGCTGTGCCAACAGGGCACAGCATCGTCAGGGTTGTGGTTGAATCCAGCTGAAGGCTCACCTGGAAGGGCACATCTGCCATGGTCTTTGCCAGGTAATAGGCTTTCAGGCTGTACCAGTAGTTCAAGTGCTCTCTCAGGAATACAGTCATCTCCTGGGGGACTGTGTGGGAACAAGGAGTTAGCAGCCAGCAGTGTCTTGGGGGGCTCCAGCCCCACTCCCACCCGTCCTGGTGCAGGCAGGGGTGATGCTGCCCCAGCACAGAGCTCCAGGTAACCTCTTGCCTCTGCCCAAATCTTCATCAGGGGAAAAAAAAAAATCAGACACTGATTTGGGAACTTTCCTCATTGAAAAGTCAGCTTGGCTGGGGGCTTTTAGGCAAACTTTTCGAGGAAGTGAAAGAGAGTTAAAGTGGCTGAAAACACAGCCTTACAGACAGTTTATCAGAGAAAAAATAATAACCCAGCATTCTGCTGAACCCAGAAGCACATCACAGCCAAACAGGGGCCAAAACTGCAATACACACGAGCAGAAGTTTCCTCCCCTCCTCTGTGTTTGATTTTGCTCCCCCCCCGCCCTGTCTTTTTCCCCCCCTCTTGTCCAAGTCATCTGGCTGCCCCCCACACTGCCCAGCACTCAGCTGGAGCACCCCGAGGGCTGGGAGCAGGGCTGGGGGTTGTGGGGCAGGAGCTCCTTACAGGTGAGGATGGTGGGCATCAGGGCAGCAAACATGAGGAAGAGCATGGAGAAGAAGAGGAAGCCGGTGTTGTTGAAGACCTTGCCCGCGTCGTTGCCGATGTGCAGGTAGAGCAGCCCGATGAGGACCCCGATGCAGATGTGGGACATGAACCTCAGGATGGGTATTTCGCACTGCAGAGAGAGAGGCAGCGGAGGCCTGAGCCCCCTCCAGCCCCCGTTTAAATCCTTGCCTCTGCCAGCCCCAGGTGCCCAACAGGCCCCATCCCCTGAGCCCTGTCCCAGCCTGTTCTGCCCTCACCGTGTCCCTCAGGATGCAGATGAAGGTTCTCTTGAAGAGGATGCAGAACTGGGTTGAAGTGCTGGTGGCAAACGTGTGGCTCTCGATGTGATCCACGTCCTGCAAGGCCACGGGCGAGTCAGGAGTGTGGGTCAAGTCGACAACACGGGGTCCCTGCTAGGACAGCACCCTGGGTGGGCACCTGCAGGAGGCCCCTCCGACCCCACTCACCGTCCCACAGTGTGCTGGGCACGATGAATCTGCCTTGTCAGGGCTGCTCTTCTTCTCAGCCATGGTGCACATGCCATTCTGGACGGCGCGGAACAGGACGGGGTTGAGGTCCCCGTACTCTCCTGAGGCCACCTCGATAACTGGGGGGGACACAGGACCCCTGAGAGGTGCTGAGCCAGCCCTTGCCACCACTTCCCCAGCCAGCACCTGACAGGAAGGGCACAGGCATCTCCCCTGGGCAACCTGGAGGAGCACTGGGCAGCCCCCAGGGCTTGGGCTCTGGGTTTGGACCTCGCCACCCTGCGCAGCCCCAGCTGGGGTAGGGGCACTCACTGAAGTCGGCGGGGTTGTGGTATGTGGGGCAGTGGAGGCCGAGACCCTTCAGGTAGGGGATGAGGTTGGTCACGACGCCTTTGAAGATGCACTGGCCCTGGCTCAGGATGTACAGCTGCAAGAGAAAGCCAGGAATATGGCAGGTGAGGAGCAGCCAGGGCACTGTCACCTGTTCCCATCCACCTCCCCGCCCTGGGGTGTCACAGGGCACCCTTGCCAGACCCCTGTGTGCCACACAAACCCCGAGTCAAATGCCTGCAGCCCCCCGCCCACGGCCTCTCTTCTGGCCCTTAGGGCCAGAGGGACCCCCTGAAGATCCCCGTGTCCCATCCCAGCCCAAACCTTGTCGAACATCTCAAAGAGCTTGGCGCTGGGCTGGTGGATGGTGCAGATGATGGTGCGCCCACCCTGAGCCAGGGAGCGCATCAGGGACACCACCTGGAAGCAGGAGGCACTGTCCAGGCCACTGTGGGCACGCAGGAAGGGGCAGAGAGGAGAGAGCAGAGAGAGAGAAGGACAGAGTTGAGAGGAGCAGGAGTACATCCTAAAGATGCCACTGCTTGTGGGCACCCTCCTCTCAGATCAGTGGAGAGGAACATCAGCCCCAGCCCTCTTGGAGACCCTGGGCACAGTCCCACCCCACCCTCAGGCGGGCACTGGAGGGTACTGGCCACCCCAGTGCCCCTGGCAGGGGAAGCCCAGCTGGGCAGTGCTGGGGAGCCCCAATCCCTGTGTCCTCACCTCGTGGGCTCATCGAAGAACATGACGGGGGGGTTGTTGACCAGCTCCAGGGCGATGGCCAGGCGCTTGCGCTGCCCCCCCGACAGGGAGATGGTGCGGGTGTACGAGCACTCCAGCAGCCCCAGGGCTGTCAGGATCTCATTCACCTGTGAGACAGCCCATGGTGAACGAGGCTTTCAGGGCCTTTCATCCCATTTCTGCCACCTCCCTTCGCTGGGAGCCCCTCGGTCCCCTCAGAGACCCGCCGTCTCCACCTGGGGAGAGGTGAGGGGCTCTGGGCCCACCCTCCTCTGCACTTACCAGCTCCTTCTTCACCTCCTGCTTCTCACTCAGCTTCAGGTTAGCAGAGACCTGCAGGGAGAAGAGGGGCAGGGAGACACAACTGTCAGATGCAGGGAACAGACCCAGCAGCACTGTGGCCCCAGCCCTGCCCAGGCAAGAGCCCAGAGCAGCAACTCGGGGTGAAGGCAGCAAGAACAGCAGGATTCTGTTCCCGCATCCCAGAGAGCCCTTGGAAATGCCTGATGCCAGCGTGGGCTCAGTGCCCGAGGACACAGCCCAGAGAGCCCAGCAGGCTCCTGCCTGGCCCAGCTCACCATCATGGCCTCGAGCACGGTGAGGTGTGGCAGCAGCATGTCGTCCTGCATGATGTAACAGGACATCTTGCGGAACGTGCGCAGGTCCCGCGGCCGCCCGTTCACCAGGATCTGCCCCTTCATGCCAGTCTCCCTGCAGGAAAGGAGGTGTGAGGGACTGCAGCACAGGACCCCCAGCTCTGCACCCCCAGCCCTCCCCAGCCTCACCTGTAGCCAGCCAGGATGTTCATGAGGGTGGACTTCCCGGCGCCCGAGGGGCCCATGATCCCGATGAGCTCCCGCTGGCAGAACTTCCCCGACAGGCATTTTAGGAGAGTCTTGTACCCTGGAGGGAGAGAGCAGCAGGGGGTTGGATTCACAGGGCAGCAGGGCTACAGGGACTGCAATGCCATCCTGGCATCTGGGGGACCTCAGGGTTTCCATGTGCCGTGCCAGGGGCTGCATGTGCCTGGGGCCCATCTCCATCAGCTTCCCCAGGGCTATGGCCACAGCAGGATCACCTCCAGCATGATCCCTGACCCTGGGCCTTGGCTGATCCCATTGATTTCCAGTGCTGAAGAAGCTCATGACCTGGATCGCAGCAAAGACCAGGGAAATCCCTGGGTCAGGTCACAGAGCTGCTAAGGGAGATGACCAGGCTGTGACATCGGTCCTGGGCATGTCTTCAGATCCCAATCCCTGGGGCCAGGGCAGAGGCACAGGGAGGAGCAGGGCAGCACGGGGCAGGCAGAGTCCCCAATCCTACTGGAAGCCTGGCTCTTGCCTTCATTGGCATTCACGCTGTGCCGCCCGGCAGCAGCCACTGCTAATCAGACCTGGAATTATCTCCGCTTTAAACGCAGCTGATTAGCATTTTCTGGCAGAAGGAACATGATGTGTCGGGAACAGGGAACAAGCACAGCCTCGGGCTCTCAGGAGCTGCTCCCAAAACGCAGCCCTGGCCAGGAGAGCAACGGGATACAGGATACAGGGTGTTGGGATCATGGACCGAGCTTGAGCATCTCCCTAAGGGAAACACGCCCCTCTGCGCCCCACGGGGGCAGGTGGTGTGGGACAGGGGCAATAAATCCATCTCCCATCACGGTCCCACCGCACTGTGGGGAGCCCCTCTGGCTTGTCCATGCCCAGGATAGGGGGGTGTTGGGCAGGGTGCCCAGCACCAGCATCCCCAGTTGCCCCTCTGCACCCCTCGGAGCTGGCACCCCGCGCACGGCAGCGGGTCCCGCTGGCAGAGGGGCAGCGAGGGGAGGGCAGGGGGCTGTGCAGGGTGGCAGCAGAGCCCAGCGTGCCCGGTAGCCCCCCCGGGCACCACGCACGGCCCCGCACCGCGCATGCTGCTCACGTCGGCGCCACTGCAGCTTGCGCAGCGGTTACTCGCGTTCATTGACTGCCAGTAACCTCCTTCCTCAGCACAGCGGGGCAGCCGGAGCTGGGGGCTGTGGACAAAGGCACTCGAGCCCCCCCGCCGGCTCCTCCGCCTCTGCCTGGCCTGGCGGAGAAGAGCGGCCCTCCCGCCGGGGGACCCCAGTACCCCTCGGTATCCCCTATGGGGTCCAGCTTCCCGAGCTTTTTCCCCTCCCTCCCTGCAAGGCAGGCAGCCGGTCCCCTCCCCGGGAGCTACAGCACAACCCACGGCTGAGCCGCGGCTCCCCCCGGGATGTTTCCTCAGCATCCCAAATAAACAGGCGGGCAGCATCCTCTGGGATGTTGGGGCTGGTCCCCACATCTCTCAGTGCCTCGGTTTCCCGAGCTGCACAGCCTGGTTGGGGTCAGGGGCAGAGGCTCCACCCAGCACTCCTGGCTGGCAGGGCACCTCTCTGGGCAGCGCTGTGACCTCGGTCCCCTCTCATCCCTGCCTGCCTTCTGGAGATCAGCTCCCCCTCCATCTTATCGGGCTGCCTGATTGGCATCCCATTAACCGAGAGCGCTAATTAAAGTAGACTACCACCCACCAGCCGCCATCTGCCTCCCCTCTCCCCTCCCTGAGCTCTCGGCCAGAGTCACACACAGCAAAGGGAATCGTGGCCTCAGCTGCACAGGGAGCCACTGGAGAGGAAATCCCCTGCAAACCACACGTTCTCCTTGCCAGGCTCTGAGCAGGGGCACCCCCGGGGTCTCCCACTGCCGGCACATCCCACACAGCCATCATACCCCGAACAGCAGTGCTGGGGAAACCCAGCCACCCTGGCTGCCCCAGCATCTCTGCCCCAGCTCTCTCCCCACACAGCCCTGGCCAGAGGTTTCCCTGGAATGCGCTGTGCTTTCCTCCTGCATTGCACAGCAACTGCTGTGGGACACGAAGCCTTCCCTCCTCCCACAGGCACCCAGCACCAACAGCCAGACACAGCAGGGCTGCAAACAGCCCCTGGCACTCGGACAGAGCAGGGTGAGATCATGGCATGCACAACAGGAGCGGGGTGTCCCTGCCCTGCCCTTCCCCACCCGCCAGCTCCCACCTCTCTTCCTCCACCAGGATCCTTCCCGCACGGAGTAGGACAGGTCGATGAACTCGATGTTGACGGCCGAGCGCTTCGGGAGGTGGGAGAACCTCTGGGCCTCCGTGATGTGGTTCTCCACCTTCTTCAAGTGGGTGGTGAGGAGCGGGGCGTCCGGGGGGCTGGCGTGGCACACCGTGTCCTCCAGGGCGATGGAGACGCAGGCGGGATCCATGCCCTTCTCCGCCATCCTGCCGCTCTGTGGGAAGCGCACAGGGATGGGCTCGCAGCGGGCTGCCTCTCTCAGGGACTGCAGGGACCAGCCCACAGCAAGTCCTCTCTCACCCTTCCCTGCTGGCTCCAGGCCTCACTGCCCCCCCTGCCCTGTGATGCGCTGCCCAGCTGGCTCCAGCACCCACATCTGGATGGGAGGATGGACCCGGACAGGGTGGCTGAGCCTCTGCACTGAGGGGCTCACGGGGAGCAGCTGATCAGCTCCACAGTCAATAATTGATGCACCTCCTGCGGCTGGTCCGGCTCTGGCAGCAGAGCTGGCAGCGTGCTCAGCTCTGCCAGCCCCGGGGCTGCTGGGCTGCCTGCCCCAGTCCTGTCTGTCACAGGGTAGGAGGTGGGAGAGCTCATGTTCTGCCCTACGCCTGGATGTCCCCAAAGGCTCACCAGGAACTGCCCCTGCCTGGCCTGGCCTGGGGGAACACAGGCATGAAATCCTAAGCAAGCTGACTGTTCCAGCTGTTTTCTTGGACAAAGCCTGGCTGTGCCTCACCCAGGCTCCTGGGGCAGACCAGTCCTGGACAGACTAGACCCCAGCCCGGGGTCCTCGTGGGCTTACTGGGATAGTCTTAACAGAACAGGGAGGGGACCCTACTAGTGCCAGACCTTCTCTGCCTCCCTCAGCTCATCATTTCACCTCCCTGGCTCTTTCCAGCACAGCCTCAGAGAGCAGGCCAGCACTTAACTGGGGCCATGACACTGACCCCCACACCTGCC